CAGCACCAGAAAATGTTCTTTTGTAGCGAACTCATTTGGAGACAATGGAATTGAATTACTCTGATTTAACTCAATTTAGTTCACTTGGATCTTTAAAAATTGGCTCAACAATGAGCATTTTCCCGTATCCCCTGACAACCCAATAAAATCTTTGGTTTTGCTAGATCATCTGTTTTATATTTCCAATATGAGAAGAAGATATTGCGCAACACTGGGAAAATGCATTAAGTGCTTTGTGAGCTAGACTAGAGAGTCAGATAGGTGTGTTTCTAAAGACAGGGCAGAGGTAAGGTGTTTTTAATGGAGCTCTTTTCTGGAACTCATTCATTTCTCTTGCTGCTATCACTACATCAATGTGTCTTAAGGCTCTCTCAGAAACAATGGCTGGAGTGATGCCTGTTGTTGAGAGTGGGAAAATAACATGTATGTAAATTCTCCGGAGCTCTTTAACTTCTTCATACTTAGAAGCCATTTTCCCAGTAGAATAACCACAGGAATGGGCACAACTCAATCTGCGCTCTGTAGTTGGGCCCTGCAGGGTCTCAGGATTTCCCACTGAAATCCATGGAGGAGCAATACATATCCTGAGGCACGAGAATTGTGACCGTGAGGTGTTGTGTAAATTGTGGCAACTGATGGGTGGACCATCAAGGCAGATCTGTTATTCCAATAGGAAAGAACTGCCCCCACCCCAAACTGATTAAGAGAATGGACAGTCCATCATAAAGACCTAGGTTAACATTTTCAAAAGCTCCTCAGGGACTTCGGATCCAAATTCACTTAATTACATTTGGAAAGGTTACTCCTGACCACCAGGTCTGAGAACTCCAATTCAAATCCAGAAACCAGTTCCCGGGTGCTGATACCTTTGTGAATGGAATCCATTCCCATGGTGATCAGGGCAAGTAAGGAAACCTGGGTCAACCAAGATAAATTATCTCCAGGGCAGCAAAGGGGGCAATTGCTCAAAGGCCCAAGCAATTTAAAAGGGCCTGGGGCACAAGGACATCCTTAGTATTTAATGTTCGGAGCCCTATGCAGTACAGGTTGGACCTCCCCAAACCGGAACTCCTTCATCCAGCAACATCCATGGTCTGGAAGGACCACAGGTGTTCCTGGACCAGCCAGTCCTGGCTGGGAGCCCCAGTGGCAAGAGAGCTGGCAGCTCGTAGCCTGGTGGGGCTGAGACCGGCACTAGAGCCCCAATACCACAGCAAGGGCCACGGCAGCGCCAGTAGCAGGGCCAGGTTCGTGGCAGTCGTGGCAGCCACAGTAGTGGGGCCAGGGCTAGGGCTGCAGCAGCCCTGACAGTGGGGCTAGGGCAGGAGCAGGGACAGTCCAGGCTGCCAGGGCCACAGCAGCCTGGCATGGGGGCCAGCTGGGGTCAACAGCGGGGAGGTCTGGGGATCCAGTAGCGGGGGACCTCCTCTGGTGCAGTAAATTTCCTCCTACGGGACTGCTCAGGTCCCGAGGGGGCTGGACCGAAGAGGCCCAACCTATACTATTAAAATGGTGCCCCTATGCCCTGACAGCCAGGGTGAGGGGAGGCGGTGACGGATATTTAGAGATGTGATTTAATAATCTTCAGCATCACGCTAATGAAATAGTTTTAAAGCCAATTTTAAAGTAAGGCCCAGTTGACTAACACACTAATTAAGGAACCGATGGTATCTATCTGGGGTTGGCAAATGCCTGTTAAATGGCTTCACTGCCACTTGAATGGCTTTCACAGGTTCGGGGTCTGCTAACAGGCCTGGCAGGCTTTTCCACTTTTAAGCTAACTACACCCTCTTTAGAGAAAGCAGAGCCGGAGAACAGGGATAGGAAGAGGTGGGTGAACATTAAGACCCAGTGGTGCCCCAAATTTTCAGATGCTCCACACATGAGCATGTTCTGCATATGAGTCAGGATGGCCCTGCCAGGGCAGCAGGACTAACACAGATTTGTCAACCCGCTCTCATTCTGCGCTCTTCCTGGAAGTGGCTGGCATGCCTCAAGGGGGCATGTCCCCATGCACTGACCCTACCTGGCGCACCGACTCCACAGGTTCCCTTGTCTGGAAACTGCACCAAAGAGAGCTGTGGGGGCAGTACCTGTGGGCAGTGACATACAGAGTCCCCGGGCCACCTGTCTAGGAGCCATTGCCAGAGAGATGTCGATCACTTTTGGGAACTACCTATGGTGAGGGACAACTTCCTGTCCCCTCCTACCACTTAGCCCCTTGTCCCTGACTAGAGCCTGCACCCCACACCCAAACTCCCTCCCAGAGTGCACATCCTGCACTCCCTTCCTGTACCTAATCCCCTGCCCCAGTGTAGAGCCTGCACTTTAAACGCAAACTCTCTCTCAGAGCCTGTGCCCCAGCTGTCCTCCTGTACCCAGATTTACTCTCACACCCCACAACTCTTCCTGAACCCCAACACCCTGCCCC